TAGACATATATTAATGAAAATGATATGTAGATACGTATTTTCTTTTTTTGTAACCTTAAATTTTTCATTTTTAATATTAGGATATTATTTAATTTTATATTGTCGGTCACTGGTGACCGATATAGCGTTTATTTTTAACGTTAATTTTGCAAAGTTGAGGCTGCTGTTGCGCTTGCAATTGAGCCAGCTACATAAATAATATATTGCTTATTGGAATGAAGAATAATGTAATTTGAATTCTTAATTAATTAAATTAAATTAAATATTCTATTATTATTGAGTCAAAAATTTTAAGAATGTTATAATTTTTAGTGAAATATTCTTAATTAATTTAACCCTTTAACTGCTGAGATATTAAATGACCAGTATGACCCTCTTTGCTGAATTATTTTTACAATTATAAAATATAATATTTTATAATGATAAGAGATGGCACTATATGCTCGCTCAATTCAAATGCTTTTTACAAACTAAATGAAATGGGTATTACACATTGAAAGTGCAAATCGAGTAAACTCGATCGTAGCAAGGCCGCCATTTTTTTCTACACTCGAGTTATCTCCACCGTAGCAGTTAAAGGGTTAATAATTATAAATAATGACTGATTTGATTATTCTCAATTTCATTAAAGATAATAGAAGATCGAACAAAGTATTTAAACAAGTCCTTCTTGATGTCTCAGCAAAATAACAACAAAAAGCAATCATTTTTAATCATCGAAGGACAATAATCTGCATATTATCGTGTCTGAAAATTCGACTCAGATACGCGTCACTCTGCTAATCATCCGACCGCGCGTCTATAAAATGACTCGCGTTCCCAGCGAATAAAAACATCGTCGACCCGCAAACTTCCGCAAGCCTCCAATATCTCCCCCCCCCCCCTCCTACTCCGATTAATCATTTCGTTTTCATCGCACAAATATCCGTGTTTCTCGAGCTACCGAGCTGTCAACCACCCGAAGAAACTACCGTGCTCCAGCCGACGCTGGAAGCTCCTCGGCAACGCTCGCGTCCGTCTCGAGAAAGGGAAAGAAAGAGAGAAAAAGAGAGAAGACACTCTTAGCGCTCGCGGTGTCAGGACGGATAAAGAAAGGCGGCGGCCTTTCTTTATGTAGAAAGAAGGTATCAGCGGACGGGCAGAATGGATGCGGCGTGCATTTAATGCGCACACAGCTACATAAACCGCGGTGACTCGGAGCGGTAATCCAAGGAACGGTCACACTCGTAAACAAGCCGTCTCGCGGCCTCCGAGGTGGCGAACGCGCTTTCAGGGCGCTCGCACGTTCGCTCGTCCTCGTCCCTTTGACGAGATGATGGCCGGGGTAACAAGGATTTGCAATGGTAACGACACGATGTTTCGCCGCCTGTAAAAGCGCACGGGAGTGCGCGCGCGCGCTACGCATTGACGCCGCGCGGCTGTCGGGCTCGAACGCACCTCGGTACCTTGGGTCTTAAGACCGTATCACACTAGCGACTCGCGGCTGCGACTGCGACTGCGATTGCGATTGCGATTTCTTGTTTTCCAATCACACTTGCGATTGGCGATCGCAGCTGCGGCTAAATACTGTTAACATACCGTCACACGTACAATCCCCGAGAAGGGGTCTACATTCTACGAGATCTACTAAATAATAGTCTATCTCCTTATTAAATTGTTTCGACATTAAAAAAAAATATGTAACACATGAAACAACACTAGATATAACCTTATTCTAATGATCACCGACTTCTACATACTATTAAATAAATGTGATTATGACGAGCGGGTCACGTGATTATACGGAGTTCTCTGATTGGTTGCGACTGCGGCTGCGACTCGAAAAATGGACAGTCGTTCAAACGATAGTCGTGAGTCGCAGCCGCGAGTCGCTGCTTTCTGATTGGTCGAGGAAGAGTCGCAATCGCAATCGCAGCCGCAGCCGCAGTCGCGAGTCGCTAGTGTGATACGTCTATTACACGGAGGTTATACGACGGGGATGGCAGGAAGAAAGGAAGGGAGTTTCGTTTTCTTTACTCTTTCTTGATTGGAAGCTACCTCGAGAAATTTTTATCAGGATTAAGGGGGGATTAAGGATGGAGAGTCAGATTACTAAAAAATCGTGCTTGTTTTTGATAATATTTTGTGACGAACTGAATAAATGTGCAAAAATGAACATTTTAGATATATTTATATAACATATGAAGAGTAGAAAAATTTTGTTTATTAACAAATACTCATATAAATATACGTCCACTTAAACTTTAAACACGTTTTTCTCGAAATTTTATTGTTCAATCTTCTGCAGTGATTTCTTCGAAACTAAGCTTTGTATCGATTTGAAATTTTAAAGCAATAATACTTGTTCCTATGGCTCTCAGGTGAACTATGGACAACTCTGTAAAATATTTCATTTCGGGATATTAATTTTTTTATTGTAAAAGAACTGAAAAATTTGGATTTTTTCCTAATAATAGCTGCAATTTTGTTAATTTTGTTCGATTTTTTTTGTAGTGGTTCACCGGATAATGATAAGATTTCTAGCCAAAATTCGCTCTGATCGGATCATCGAGAGCCGAGATATTACTGCAAAAGTGACAACTTGAAAAAAAAGAATATATTTCAGTTATATATATCGTATATTTATACGAATATTTGTTAATAAACAAAATTTTTTTACTCTTTATATGTTGTATAAATATACCTAAAATTTTCATTCTTGCATATTTATTCAGTTCGTCACAAAATATTATCAAAAACAAGCACAATTTTTCAGCAATCTGACCCTCCCAGTCAGATGTTTTCTAAATACTTTAGACGTATAAGAGACGTTGATCCGATGTCTATTCGACTATCATTTTTCTCTGGGTACCTAATATTAAAAACTTCAATACATTTTAAACGGCTTCTTGTTCCGTTTAAAGATGCCAAATAGACTTCTTTCTCTTTTCTCTCTTTAATAAACAATGTTTTCTCCTCTTAGAGCCTTTCTCTGTGTTGTCACTTTACAACCTTCTCTCCTTGGTTGTATATCCTCGGTTTCTAAAAAAACTTTGCGGAAATGTTTCATTTTATTAATAATTAATGAAAGGATTGATAAAAACGTTATCAATTAATAAAAGGATACAAAGTACTAAAAAAATAAATAAAGATAAACAAAATTTCTACGTTAATATAGACATGCCCAACTATCCCTTCACATGTGACCATCTAACCCGGACATACCTGACCATCTATCCCTCATAGAATATTTTTAATATTTCGTTATTATTAGCGTTCCGTGAATTTTTTTTTTCACAAAAATTCTTCTGTACTTTAAACATTATCCTCCACTGAGTGTGTTAATATGTTATTGCTCATTTATCGCAATAATACAGATATGTGTATTATTTCCAATTAAAAAAATAACTATGCACATCTATTCCGGACTTAGCCTAATTCCGCGCCTAATTGCATCAGCGACGCTGATTGTCACCGTATAACCAGGCTGGGCGAGTGAAACGTTACCGTCGCGAGTTATCCTTTTCTCAAGCGACGACTCGATAACCAAACCGTTCCCTTCGCTCTGTAACGACCACGCAATTGCGTCCTTCGTGGAGCGCCAACGGCGATATAATTAATCACTAATAATTAATTCAGCAATATCATCGTCACACACACGCGCGCGCGCGCGCCCAAAGAGGACGGCAGAGAAGCGCGGAAAGAGGGTGAGTCTCCACTCGGTGGAAAAAGTGGCGGAAATTGCGCCGCGGCGACTCGTTATTTCTTCGGTAATGATAACCGGTAACGAGTTACTCCTCTCTCGATACGAGCTTACGACAGTAACGGTAACGAGTTACGTTCGAAAGGGTAACTCCCCTCCCGCCCCCAGCCCCGATAAGTAATAACGATTCATAAGGGCGGCACTTTTTGCCAAAGCGCGGCTCACGTCACCGGAATTGGAAACGTATCGCCGAGGGATGTGCTCGATAATCGCCAGTCGCGCGGCACGAATATCGCAGTGGCTGCTGCAACAGCAGCACGCAGGGACAGGTAGAAAAGAACGAAGTAGCCGATATACCGGAGATTTTCCGGCGAGGCTTACAGCACCCCCCGTTTTCACCTTCGCACCTTCGCACTCCCCGTCGACGCGACGCGACGCGCCTTCCTCTTGACAGCGCGAAATCGCGAGCCCCGATGCGAGCGACCGAGCGATCGATCGATCGATCCGGAAACTTGTGCGCGCCGGTCTATATAAAAAAAGAAAAAAATGTCCAAAGGCGCCCTGGTAATTTAGGGCGAGGACGTTCGAGAGGCTGCCCTACCCTCGCCGTCGTCGTCGCCGAGGCTATCGCGAGGGGAACTCGCGCGAGCCGCGCGGTTGTGCTCCGAAACGGTTATTTGCAGGCCGCTTGACTCGCGCAAAAACTCCTCCCGAGAGTGCATTCCTAATTTAATCGGATATTTCCATCGGCACGTTTCTACCCCGGTAATGGAGCCGGCTCGCGTTTCTTATTCGCGTTATTTCAACGAGCGAACGAGCGAACGAGACGCTCGCTGTAAAAACGATTAAATCCGCCGACGCTGCGGAATGACTGATTAATGCGCGCGCGCGCGTGTGAGAAGGACCGACGGCTCGAATAAATTCTATGTAATTTCAAACGTGTGTTAATTGCAACGTGTACATCGGTATGTGCGAGGTCGCGGTTTGAATCGCTGAGGAGGACAAGGTGCGCGCGAGTCTACGTCGATTCGCGTCGGTCCGCGGATTTCGAGAGTCGCACAGTGTGTCGGTAAGGAAAAAAAAAGTCGATGGCAGCCTGAATGCGAAGGACGATCGCTCTCCGTCGCGACGGCTGCGCCCGTACCGTTTCAGAGGCGGCGGAATTATAAAGACGATCCAGCCCTTGCGCTCTCTCCTTTCACGGGCGATCGTGGGTGTCGCGCATGCAGGCATACGCGGACGTCGCATTTGTTTCCTTTTCTCGCCCGCTTCTCGCTGCGACAAGACACAAGAATGACGGGAGAAAGCGTGTACTCACGAGATGCGAGTCCCTGGTGGTGAACGTGATCGGATCCGAGGCTCTGGGCTCACGACAGTGAAAATCCATCTTTCCCCAAGCCGCAGCGCCCGCCGCGCCGCTCCTGGCGGCCTCGATCAGCTCCATCTTCACCCCCTCCGCCGAGAACTCCACCTGCGAGCACAATCGACACGATGATCACGGCGAGCATGATTGTCCACGACGAAACGACCGGATTCGACGGTTATCAACGTGCGTCGCGAAGTTGGAAAACGGGATTCGTCCGATGTCGTCGCGAAGACATCTCCCTGCAACGCTGTTAACCCTTTGAGGCACGTATCTTTCAAAAAATCCGAATCATGAAAATTTATATACGGAAGTTTCGCTGATGACGAATCCGTTATCAGATTTTCGAAACTCAAGATGGCGGACGCAAAAATGAAAAACCGCGATAATTTCGGTGACAATGGGTATTGTGGGGTTTTTGGAGTCGCTGATTACGAATCCGTTATCAGATTTTCAAAATCCAAGATGGCGGCCACCAATATGAAAAATCGCGATAATTTCGGTGACAATGAGTTTTGAACCTCAGATTCGTAATCAGCGATCTTGAAAACTAACCAAAGTACAATTTCAGATAATCATATAAAAATTTTACGATCCGTCATCTTGGGAAATAAATATTAGTATTTGGACCTCAGATTCGTAGTCAGCGAGCTCAAAAAAACTAACCAGAGTACAATTTTAGCTAATTTACAATAATAAAAATTCTATAATCCGCCATCTTGAATCCGCCATCTTGGAAAATTAATTTTGGAATTTGGACCTCAGATTCGTAATCAGCGACCCAAAAAACCCCCAAATCTTGATTTTGAGCAAAAAATTCACTCATAGTTCGTGGACAATGATTTTTTTCTATAAAAATATGTATTTTTCACACTTTGTTTATTTATAATAAATGGGCAACTTATGCAAAACACTTTTCAACCTTTCATGTATGTCTCCATATCATATAAGAAACTAAAAAACGCAAGAAATCCCTCAAATATAAAATATTTCATGAAAATGTGAGAATAAATAGGTGGTAAGTATACTTACCGCTATGCCTCAAAGGGTTAATCTTCGAGCGCGAGTCTAACGGAACGATCGCGAGGACGCCGCCGAGTCTCGGCAATCTGTCGCGAACGGTTTTCGTCCCTCCTCGTCGACGGCCGAGCGCTGCAAGCAAGTGAGGGGCGACTTCTCGCCCCTGTCCTTGCCTTGCAAGGACACTTTTGTCCTTGCCGAGCGGCCTGCCCGTACACGCCACGCTCGTTTCTCCCAGGGACGCGGCTATTCCCCGGCAGGGACAGCGGAGGATCTCAGCGAGAGACGGATTAGCTGCATAAGCTATTTTACTCTCAGCGAAGATCACCACCCCGGCCGAGACGCGAGAGAGACGCACGAAAGTGCGCGCGCGGCGAGTCTCGCCTGCGAAGCAATTCCGCGGAATTCTCCGTCGAGCTTCGCCGCGATTGGATACATACAACGGCGGCTTCTCTCCTCGAGGCCGACTCGAGTGTCCTCCGTATCGTAAGATGTTAATATTCCGCTGTAAGGTACGTGCCGTGCCGGCAAGCACGCTGAAAGCGCGCATAATTCGGTCAAGTGTGTTATAAATTCACAGATCACTCACGGTCGTCACATTCCAAATCGTGTCAGCTCCCCGGCCCCTATTATTGGTTATTGATTCGGGAAGCGGGCGCTATTAGCGCCGCTTGCGCACTTCGGAGTACGAGGATCCCGAAGACGAAAGCACCCGCGAGTAATTACGGAGGACACCATGGCGAGTAATTACGGAGGACACCATGGCGAGGACGCGGAAGGGATTTCCCCCCTCCCCAGCCGGGGAGCTTCGGACGGAAGTTCGCGGAGCGAATATTTACATATCGCGGACGCGCGAGCGAGCGAGCGGTGGCACCGTGGCCGTAAATAAAACTCGCGGGAGTTTCGCTAATTCGCGAGACGAGACGAGCCGAGCCGAGCCGGCAAATTACAGTCGCCATTAACCTTTCTCCTTGCGCCTTATTGCGCGTCCGCTTCATCGCGTTACTCGCGTTTCTTTGTCGCCGCTCGCGAGACGCGTTACTCCGAACTACTCTTAGTTCCCGCGGCGGAAGTTCCCGGAGTAAGTTGCCGGCATGAATATTTCATCGGAGCGCAGCGATGACCGCGCGCTGCCGGCGGTAGTAATTTCGGAATTTCCGACCGGTCGGCGGAATCGATGCGCGGAACCGAAGAAGCGCGGCGACGCCCCTGGCGAGAGAGAGGGAGAGAGAGAGAGAGAGAGAGAGAGAGTGCGCGCTCGCGGTTCTACGTACGTAAGCGGTTTTACGCGCTGTTTAACGCAATAACGGACGACCGATGTGTTACGCTTTGCGCGGCCTGTTGACGTGGACGGGCAAACGCGTGCGACAAAATAATCTAACGCCATTTGTTAAAGCCCAATAGCTGGCTCCCTCGAACTCGCCCGGAGGAAAGTTAACGGACCACCGACAATTAACGACTCGTTTCCGTGGAGGTGGGGGGGGAGGAGGGGAGGGGGGGCGGGATGGGAACGGTCGAGATAACAAATTTTTGCGAAACGGAAATACTCTAAGGGAAAAACGATCGTCCATTTCTCTTCGTTTCTCATTCAGCGCCAATCAAAAGTGTAAAATGCGTCGGCCGATTTTCTTTCTTTGCTTTTTTGTACAAATGAATAATCTAAACTTTTTCTAAACGGCTAAGAAATTAAGTTTCAAACAATCAAATTTTCCCGCTTTTTTCTACGATTATGTAGCGTTGATAAATATAGCGATTAAAAATTACATTTAGTATGGCGGGAGGCTCAACATAATCTCAAAAATTAATCAATTCAGTGCAGTGAAAAATGGCAACAGATAAGGTGCATACCCAACACTGCATTCTTTACGAATTCCAACAAGAAGAAAATGCTGCGAGAGCATGCGGATCGATTTGTTCCTTTCTCAGCGAAGGTGTTGTATCGTACGATGTGTGTGCATTTTAGTTTAGACAGTTTAAAAGCGGCGAGTTCAATCTGAGTGACAAAGAACGTCTTGGAGGTCCTCGGAAGTGCGGCAACAATGATTTGAAGCAATTGCTCGCTGAGAATTCAGCACAAACGCAAAAAGAGCAGTTAAGAATAACGTAATAAACTATTGGGTTGGCAACTAAGTGATTGCGGATTTTAAATAAGAATGAAAATTCAAAATTTTAAATTTGCTTTTTTAAATTTTTTTCAATGCATGTATGCGATACATTGAGCTTCTCTGCAATATCACGTGTTGTGCTATGACGATCTGAATCGATAATGGGCCTTGATATGGGTCTCATCGACGTCAACTGGACGGTCGTTGAACATTTTTCAATGAAAAATCACCAGAACGAAATCTGGCAAACCAATTTTGACACTGCCTTTCTTTCAAGGCTTCATTCCCATATACGGCACATAACTTCTTGTGTGCTTGCGATGCGTTCTTGCCTTTTCGGAAATAATACAATAAAATATGTCTGAAGTGCACGTCTTGCTCTTCCATTTTTAAATTGGGATAAAAACAAAACTAAAGAACTAATCGATATAATTTTTGTACTAAATGAAAGGTAGAAGTCCAAACAATAAGAAAACAATATAGGTTAGGTACTTTGAACACGTTAACGAAACAAAAGAAAGTGTAAAATCCATCTGTCGACAAAATCCGCAATCACTTAGTTGCCAACCCAATATTTCCAAACGCCTACACGAGATGGGGAAGATTCAGAAAGATTCAGAAAGAAGGAAAATGGGCTTCGCATAAACTCACTGAAGCTAACAAAAATCAATGAGTGGCAGTGTACATATCTTGCTCTTCTCAATAAGCAGCGTAGAAAGTCTTTCTTGTGGAAAATTGTTACGGGCGATCAGAAGCGGATACTCTATAACAATCCGAAACGCAGAAAGTCATGGATAAATCCTGGCGAACCATCAACATCGGTCGCAAAGCCAAAACACTTCGGAAAGAAGATTCTGCTCTGCATTTGGTGAAATATGAAGAGCGTGATTTATCATGAGCCATTAGAACCGAATGAAACAATTACTGCGAACCGCTACCAACACCAGTTAATCCGTCTGAGTCAAGAATTAAAACGAAAACGCCCGTATAGTGCCAAAGGAGAATATCCTGTGAAATTGTTGCGTGATAACGCTAGGCCATACATTGCTTCTACGACAAAAGACATCATAATGAGTCTTGGCTGGGACGTCTTGCAGCACCTATTCATTAGACATAACTCCTATCGATTACCACTTGTTACGGTCGATGCAACATGCCTTGTCCGATACGCACTTGAAATCAATGGATGAGATTCCCGATAGTGGCTTCACGACTTTATCATGTCTAAAGACACAACATTTATCCGACATGGAATTCATCAGCTGCGTGAAAGATGGCTTAATCCTTTGTGTCACAACGGGACACATGTGTCCCGCTTATATTTTCTTCATTTCCTGATTATATTTCATAGAATTCATCAAGTTCAATGATTCTTTTTTGCTCATCCGCTGTTTGAATACTCAATTATGATAAATGTTCATTGATTTCATCAATGTTTATATTTTCTTTATTATAAACAAATTAAGACGAAAAAGAGCGTTCTTTTGGAATAAATTCATTTCTGAAAAAAAATTTCCCATAAACATACTATTTTTTTCACCTAAATTTATGTTTTTGAGGTCGCCGATTACTGATCCGCTATCAAATTTGGATAAAATAAAATGTTTTTGTTGTCATAAACAAAATATTGAAGCTAAATTTCGAAAAGTTGATATTCTAATTGTTGTTTTTCTACAAAGAAGCAGTTTTCTATATTACATTTATCATTTCGAAGTCGTTAATTACGAATCCGTTGATAAATTTTTGTTATATTAGTATATTTCGTGATATAAACCAAATATTGAAGAAAAACACAAAAATTGTGGAATACCGTTGGAATTTGATAATCTTCAACATTTTTCTCTTTACATTCATAGTCTTGAATTCGTTACATATGTGCAGATAGTTCGAAAATTTGTCGAATATTTTGCTAATAATTTAAATAATTAATTTATTATTATTTCGACAAATGATGATTTTTCTTTACAAAGGAAGCGAACATAGTTCTATCATATATTTGGATGTACTAAATCCAAATTTGCTATTAGAATTGATCTAGAAATTCAATCAAATACGAAGAATAATGAATTTTTCTACGGGTTCGTCAAATATCCTTTCAAGCCGTCATATTGCGTTTTCTATCTTGGATTGCATTTTTTCGAAATTCTGATGGCAGATTCAGAATTCAGCGATCCTGTATAAAACGTATAGAATCATGATTTTTGTGAGAATTCGACCACTCACTTAATTGCATGACTCAAAGGGTTAAAATTATAGAAAACAGCAGCGAATACTTTGATTGACAAATCTGTTTTACTTTCCTTTAAAATAAACCTTGAATTTAGCTGAAAAATTTAGATTATTCATTTGTACACCTAATAAACAAAGAAATTCCTTTTGAAACGACAAGGTTCGTGCAAGAATCGAAATAATCGACGAGACAGAAAAGAAATAGAGTCGCGCAAACTTTGCTCACAAAAAAAGATACTTCGGTATTATTATTACCCATTTACCATTAATTAAACTTCAGCAGTCGGTTTAGCTGGGAAAACCTGACAAAGGATAAATCAAACGACAAAAATTCCAATATTAAATACTATAAAGCTATTAAAACCATTACAAAATATAAAAAACAAAAAAAAAGAGACACACAGTTCGTTATTTCAGATAAAATGCGTTCGCCCGACGAGATAAAAATTTACTGGCAAAATTTATTACTTCCCCTCATCCCGCGAGGAGTCTCCTCAGCCGCCGCGGCTACGTCGCGGCCCCTCTCGCTGATCCTTTTTCTGCGTGTAATTGGCGATCAATCTTGACCCCCGACTCCCCATCTCCCTTCTTTCCCACTAATGAAGGCACCCAAATAGCAGCCCCTAATAAGTGTAACCCAAATACTCCAACAGCCCCGGGCGAAGCTCGCAGAAGAAGCGCCTCACGCGCGGTTCGCGCTTCGGTTTCGTTTCACTCCACGTCGCCCGGCGACGTTCGATCATCTTCGCCGGCGGTTCCTCGCGCCGTGCGGATATTTCGTATCGCGTATTATATTTCCCAGACACACCGCGCGCGCTTCCCCCGTTCGCTCCGAGCTTTGTTTCCACCATTCCGCTGATTAAATCGATCACGGCGCGCGCGCGCTCGAAAGGATTCGCAGTGCGCGGTTGCGTTATCCCCCCATTGATACACGTTCGTTCGTCAAAGATCGTCAATGACACGCCATCGGCAAATCGCCCGGCGCAATTTCAGTGTCGGAGTAAATGTCGTCCGACACTGACCACTCGACCGAAAACAACGCAAAAAAGGCAATTTAATAATTACGACGGACAATAGCGCGCGTCGACCCGGCGGCCTTCGACGGTGTGCATCGCCCCACCACCCACCGCTCGTTCTGCCCGTTCTGTCGCACACGATACACACCGGAGAAATATTCGCTCGCGACAGAAGCAAATGAAAAGGCGCGCGCGCGCCGGTCAGCGCGGTTAATCAATCGTTTGATAAGCTATTTTTATGTCGCGCGCGTGCTAACTGTTTAACCGTGCTCCGTTGTACGCCGCGACTGGCTTTGTCGGGAGCGAATTTTAACGATCGTTGACGAACTCTCTCGCTCTTCTCTCCCGCACTCACAACTCACACGAATACACACACACGCACGCACGCATATCGGCAGATAGAGCGGTGGTCGTCGGCGGCTCGACGTCGTCGGGTGGCAAAAAGGCCCGTTTCCGGCGGAACTTATCCAGCGGCGGAGGATTGGAAAGTTAGCGGGAGGTATAAATAAATCATGGTATGGATCTAACCTTTCTCAGACATCCGACGAAGTTGTTGATCCCCTTGGCACCCTGCAAGGACCTTGCGTCGGCACCTCCGCCGACGAGAAGTTGATCGCTCGCCAAATGCGCGAACGACCCCGCGGTATGGCCGTGCTCGGCGTAAATCCCGTCGACGATGGCGGAGAGCTGCAACAGAAAGGGCAGTCCCTTTAGAATTCTCTCTTGTTCGCGCCGCGGCAAATTGCGGAACGACGAACTCTCGCTTTCTCTCTCTCTCTCTCTCTCTCTCTCTTCAATATTTCGCTTCGGCGATGACGAGGCTCGCGATCGAAGCAGAATCGTCGATTTCGAGCGTCATGAAGTCGAATATACCTGAGGGATGATATCGCGAGTCTTATACGATTAATATGAATATTGAAATATTAGGAATGTGAGTGGTTAGAGGATTTTGTTTCTCAAAAATTGATTTACTTAAACGAGATAACGAACGGATACCTTAATCAAAATGTTTTCCTTCGTTTTCTACAACTCTTTCCCATCTTTCTGGCAAGAGATGGACCCCGCGACGATAAAAAGATTCTTCTTTGAAGTTGGTTCAATTTTCAACAAATTTCCACACTTGTTTGCATAAGTTATAGAAATGTATATCCTCTAGAGCAGGGGTTTCCAGCCGGGGGATGCGAAAAAACATTCTTGGGGATGCGAGGAAAAGTGATTGTAATTAATAATGATTAAGATGAGTTCTGAAACAATCCGGCACTTTTATCATCAAATTAAAAAAAAAATTACATATTTTTTACGTGTCTGTACGTATATATTCATTGTGTATCACTATGCGAAGCTTGATACCATGGATAATAATTTTATAATATTAAACTGACAGTTAGTTTCTATAAAACAATATTGTATAATAATAAATTATTATAAATCAACTTCTTACCTTAAAATGCTAACAACTAATTTTTACCATGAAACATACAAATAATTTCTTTTTTGTAGAGGGTGCGAAGGTTCATTAATAAATTTTTAAGGGTGCGAAATACAGAAAAAGTTGGGAAACCCTGTTCTACAGCATATTGCATCAACCGAAACGAGTGATAATCGGATGGAGCAATGTCTGGAGAATACGCGGAGTGCGGTAAGACTTGCTATTCCAGCTCTAATAGCTCTAATTTGCTTCACTGATAACGCAATATAAGATCGAGCATTATCGTCGAGCATTGAAGAAGGGTCACTTTGCCTCGTTTACTCGCAATTGCTGATCATTTTTGGTCCAACGCTCGCTTCAATCTGTATAATTGTCGTCGATAACAATCAGCGGTGGCAGTTTCATTCGGATTTAACAGTTCATAGTACACAACACCTTCTCGATCCCACCAAATACCTCTGAATAGCAATGCCTTTGAACCGTGAATATTGCGCTTCGAAGTGAATGTTGCTGCTTGGCCTGGATCAACCCGTGATTTTTTTCGTTTGGGATTATCGAAATAGATCCATTTTTCATCTCTAATAACAATTCGATATAAGAAACTCGTCCTTTTTTATCTGGCGATCAACGAAATGTAAATGTTCAATCGGCTCGCAATGGCATTTTCCGATAATTGATATGGAACCCATTTTCCTTCTTTGTAAATCTTTGCTGTATCATGTAAACATTTAGTAACTGTCGTACGACCAACATTTGATGCTCTGGCAAGTTCTGAAGTGAACGGTGCTGGATTTTCGTCCAATAATGCTCTGCATTCTCAAGTTGTTTTGGTTGTCCCGAGCGATCTTTGTCGTTAACATTGAAATCACCGCTTTAAAAATCGACTAAATCAATATTCACATGTTTTAATTGATGGAGCAACGTCACCACAAGTTTCTATCAGAATTCTATGGCCTTCGGCCACCAGTTTCTTCTGATTAAAAAAGAAAAGCAACTTATGTCGAAAATGCTCTTTAGGAAGCTCCATTTTTAAGATAATATTAACGCAATTTTTACTGCGTCTATTGTTAGTAAATGACTAAATCCATCGTCATGGATTATGGATTAAAATTAAAGCATTAAGAAACAACAGCTGTGATTAGGATGTCTTCGACAAAACATTATGACTGTCATACAAAACCCTTATTAAACGTTTACATCATATGGGAAAAATTAAAAAAAAAAGGAAAATGGGTTCTACATGAATTATCGGAAAATGTCCTTGCAAACCGATTGAACAATTGCATTTCATTGACCGCCGGATAAAAAAGTGTCATACTAATCAAAATAACAATAATAAGTTAGGCAAGTGAGAGCTAACGCCGGTGGACAAACGTAAATAAATAATAACGCCAATGAACAGGCACAATTACAAAAAATTTACTAAAATATTTACATACGTTTCGGATCTAGATGTAAAGGATCCATTGCTTCTCAATGCACGTCTCAAGACACGGTTTTTAATGCGACATTTGTTTATTGCGTGATTTTTCCCATTGCGAAATCTTTTTTCATTGTGAAATCATTTTACACTGAGGAGGGTCCAAAAATAGGATCGAAACGTATGTAAATATTTTAATAAATTCTTTGTAATTGTGCCTGTTTATCGGCGTTATTATTTATTACGTTTGTCCATATATGCAGTTACCGAAATAAACATGACAGCATGGATATTGTACGATTCGAGTAAAACACTCAGACCCCTCATTTCGGATTCTCAGAGCCGAGTATCTCAGATGAGACAAGTCCCAAGTAAGGACCATCAACACGGGCGTCGAGGACATATTCGAGAACAATGTGCCGTCCGAAAGACGCCTCCGAAGCATCTCTTAGACACGAGTGTTACGCGCGACGATCACGCGCAAACCGCGAGCGCGTGATGGTCCCTAAACGAGGAACCGTTCACCCCGCGAACGCTCGACTGTGATTTCTCGTGGGAATAAATCGTCCGTGTCGTTACATCTCGCGCCTCGGAAAAAGAGTTCGCCGGCATCGCCGATCAGTAACGCTCGCGCTCGTCGACGAAGGCGGCGGCGGCGGCGGCGGTTAAAGTTCCCCGGGAAGCGATCCATGCGGGCGTGCTGTAAAGTTTAGCATTTAGACAAGCGCCGTTCTTGAGAAGAGAGCGCTCCATTACGACTTCAGCAATGGCGTCGATAGTCGTTATCTCCCGGTTATTCTCCTCCTTTTTTCTCCCTCTAACCGACGCCGCCGTCGATGGGACCCGGGGAGGAAGAGAGGCGAATAGTGAGGAGGTGAAGCGCGTTAGGAGCTACGTCTTCTCGTCGTACCTCTCAGAGGCATCTAACCGAGAGGAAGATACTATCCTCCTACTACCCTTCATCTTCTCGCTTACCAGCGGTAGGCAGGGCCGCCACGTGGATTCCTCCCGCTGGCACACGCAGGAAAGCGCGAGCCGAGAGAGGCCGAGAGAGAGAGAGAGAGAGAGAGAGAGAGAGAGAGAGCGAATCGGTCGAGAATTTCAACTTTGACTTTCTTACGTTTTCGATAATCCTTGCGCACGCGCGCGCGCGTGCGCGACCTTAAGTCGCTGTCATTTCCGAAATTTCTCGCTGTCACTCTCCGAAAATTCGTCCGAGAGAATCTCGGTAAGAGAATGTGCGCACGCGATCGTCGTATGAAAGATTGAAATATACTTCGAGAACATCGAGAAGCAAAAGGCCTGGTTGGCCGTGCAAACGTGTGGGGCTTTGCACAGATTTACGGCACAAACTCTCTCGATTGACTCATCGACAGTCCGGCCGGGCGGGGCTTCGAGCCCCGACGACGTGGAGCCGGCCCTGTTTGACGCTTCCACCTTCCTTCGTCGTAATTAGGTAGCTCTCTTGTCGAGGACGCTTCCTTGGACCGCAGTGGAGCAATCTCTCCTTCATAATCCTCGAGGCCTTATCTCCGATGCTTCTCGGTGAACAAATAGATCCCGCACTCGTCGCGATGAAATTAAGGAACTGCCTGCGAGCGACAGCGTTCTCCGCGCCGCGGAGCGTAATTTGCATAATGCGCGCTGTATGTTACGCCGAACGCTCGTCGACCGTCGCTTAATTAGCGACCGCGACGGCAGTCGCAGCGAATCGTCGGGACCCGAACCAAAAATTGTTAGGGCCATCCTCATAAAACAGGGCCCCGATAAGACGGAAAGTAGGATAAAAAGGATGCCTCATTATTACCACGTCAGGCCTCGAGATGGACCTTTTAAGGATACTTTAGATTTAATAAGTGAGGCTTTGATAGGAAAAGCTGAAAAGGGCTTTGGAAAGATTTTTTAGGGATATTTTAAATCTAATAAAAAAGGCTTTGATAGGGAAAGCTGAGGAAGGCCTTAGAAGGATCTCTTAGGGATGCCTTAGATTTTACAAAATAAAGCTTTGATCAGGAAAAGCTGAGAAGGGCCTTCGAAAAATTTTTTAGAGATGCCTTAGATCTAAGGCTAAATAAGGCTTTGATAGAGAAAGCTGAGAAGGGCTTTGGAAAGATTTTTTAGAGATGCTTTAAATCTAATAAAAAAGGCTTTAACAGGGAAAACTGAGGAGGGCCTTGAAAAGATTTTTTAGGGATGCCTCAGATTTTACGAAATAACGCTTTAACATGGAAAACTGATGTGAACTTTAGAAAGATCTTTTAAGGATGCTTTAGATATACAAAATCAAATTTTGTTATAGAAAATTAATAAGATCTGAAGCGTGTAATAAAATTGTCATAGTTTAGTATTTAGTTTTAATAGTTCTATCTGGTTCTTTTACAGATCTTTCAATTATATCGCAATTAAAAATAAATTTTATTAGTTTTATTAGTTGCCATATTCATTAGTCTCTTCCAAGGATTTTTCTAGTATTGCCTTTATTTTGAAATGCAGCAAACTTTAGTAAAATCAATAGCAGGATTTTTTTATGTAAAGAATGATATATTTTATTGTAAAGTACGCTATATTTTTAAAATAAAAAATTCTTGTTGTACATTAACAAGGTTATAAAAAAATAAAGAAATTACAGTCTAAATTTTTTGGAATGAAAAGAACGAATATTGTCTCATAAAAGTCCTGTTCATATTTCCTTATAAGGTTCTATTAATATTGCCTTATTAGGATCCATTAAACTATTTGTTACATATCTTGTAGGGCCCTTATTTTTCTGTCCCTATTAGGGGCCCGATTAATGTTAGGGAAAAATAATCGGGCCCTTACCAGAACCCTAATAATTTT